CAGGGCTCTGGCCCTCCAGGAATTGAGTTTGACACCCCTGCCCTAAATCATACTGTTATAATTTAACCATATACAAGATAAATAATTAAATAAATAATTAGTTAGTTAATTTTTATATAGTTAAAATAATATGAATATGAAAACTGAACATAGTATATTCATTTAAACTATATAGAAATTATATTTTTGGCAGGTTGTTTAGAATTAACTTGCAGGTGGTGTAAGAAAAAAAAAAGAGTTATAGAGGGTTATCGATAAATGTGTGCAAAATATGACAAATTACTAACAAAGCTTTTTTGGAGGTTTTTATGACTGGTGATAGTCGAATGAGACACTCGTCTGATTTCTTGAATTTCTGAAGCTCAAACTCCTCCAGCTCCTCCTCTGATGTCAACAACGCAAAGGCCAAAGCAGACCACTGGGTAGGTGAAAGATCAGAAGATGTCAGACTTCCTTCTCTAAGGTGGGTCTGAATCTCTTTCACCAGAGTTTGGTCGTTCAGTTCATTCAGACAGTAGAACAGATTGATGGATCTCTCTGGAGACAGATTATCCTCTAATTTCTGCTTGATGTACTGAACTATTTCCTGGTTGCTTTCTTTATTGTCGTCTAGCTGTGCCAACAGACCTTGTAAGAGTCGCCGATTTGACTGGAGTGACAAACCGAGAAGAAAACGAAGGAAAAGATCCAGATATCCAGTGTCACTCTCTAGTGCCTTGTCCACTGTAGTCTTGAGCAAATCAATCATGGTTTCACTTTTGTTTTCCTGTTCTGGTCCACTGCAGTCTTGAGCAAATCAATCATGGAGTAATTTTGTTTTTCCTGTTCTGTAGACTCTTGAACAAATGGGTTTTTCTTGTTGATGTCTCGAAATAGATGTGCATAAAGGGCTGCAATAAACTCTTGAATGCTCAAGTGAACAAAGCAGTACATGGTACCAAGAATGATCCCTGTTTCCTCCTTAAAGATCTGGGTACACATGCCTGAGTACACTGATGCCTTATAGACGTCAATACCACAGGCTTCCAGATCTGTGTGATAGAAGATCACATTGTTTCTTTCCAGCTGATCAAATGCCAGCTTCCCCAGTGAAAGGATTGTGTCTTTATCCCAGGAAACATCTGGTGTATATTCTCCATCATACTTTCGTCTGCTCTGTTGGATCTGAAAGCGGAGAAAGTTTGTGTACATTTGTGTCAGAGTCTTGGGAGTGAAAGCGGAGAAAGTGTGTGTACATTTGTGTCAGAGTCTTGGGAATGTCTTCAGTATTTGATTCCTGCAGTGTTTTGGAGGCGTCATCAGCCTGACTGTTTTTCAGATCATTATTTCTTTTCTCCTCCAAAATATTCTGGAGAACAGTGGCTGAAATCCAGCAGAAGACTGGGATGTGGCACATGATAAAGAGACTCTTTGATTGTTTAACATGAGCAATGATTTCTTTGGCCAGATTCTCATCCGTGAATCTTTTTCTGAAGTACTTTTGTGCATCATTGAATCCTCGTATCTCTGTCAGCCGGTCGATACAGTCAGGAGGAATCTTACTGGCAGCTGCTGGTCTGCTGGTGATCCAGATGAGAGTAGAAGGAAGCAGATTTCCCTTGATGAGGTTCGTTAGGATAACATCCAGAGAGGCTGGTGATGATACATCAGACCACGTCTCATTATCCTTAAAGTTCAGAGGAAGACGAAATTCATCTAATCCATCAAGGATGAACAAAACGTTGAAATTGTTTCTCCTTGTAAGGTTTAATCCAAATTGAGTAATAAGGTCTATCAAACTTTGTTTTTCTTTCTTTTTTAAGTTTATCTCTCTGAATGGAAGAGGAAATATGTAGCTGATGTCTTGATTTTCTTTTCCTTCAGCCCAATCCAGAACAAACTTCTGCACAGAGACTGATTTTCCGATGCCAGCAACTCCTTTTGTCAGCACAGTTCTGATCTGCTTGTCTTAAACTTTTGCACAGAGATTGATTTTCCAATGCGAGAAACTCCTTTTGTCAGTACAGTTCTGATCTGCTTGTCTTGTTCAGATGCTTTGAACAAATGTTTGCATTCAACCTGTATCTCTTGTGTGTCATGACGCCTGGCAGCAACTTCAATCTTTCTGATCTCATGTTCATTATTGACCTGTTCACTACAACCCTGAGTGATATAGAGATCTGTGTAGATGCTATTCAGAAGTGTAGAGTCACCATGCTTTGCAATTCCTTCAAACACACATTGATACTTCTTCTTAAGGTTCAATTTAAATTGTCGTTGATGAATGAAGACCAGCTCATCTAAACAAACACAACAAAAACACTTGATCCTACTTTTCTTTCCTAATTTTATAAGTGACAGTATGACAGATGCTCATGAGCCTCTTACCTTTTAGATTGTCTGCAAGGTTATCTTGCTTCATACTTGTTAGGAAGTAAAGTGTGATATCAAGTGCTGCTTCTTTGACACTGCACATGTCCTCTGTAAAGTCCTGAACAAAGTACTGTGTGTTCTCTTTTTTTAACATTTTCTTAAACCTTTTCAGCTCATTCTTCAGAAATGCAATTATGTTGTACTCAAGGTCCTAAAATCAAAGCATAAAAACAAAGATTACAACAATAAAATTTAATTAAATCTTACATCCACATATGAACATGGGGTTAAACAAGTTACAGACAGGCAGCAGTAAAAAGCATTTTAAAAAAAGCTGTGATAATGTGAGAAATTTAACTACAAAATAGCAATGGTATAGAAGAAAAATTACGATTTTAGAATATCAGTATTTAATATTTAACATAGTTTTAGAACATCAGTTATCATGAACAAACTTTATTCGATAATTGTATGTATAAGTATTGAATGTACCTTGAAAAATGTCAAACCAGTATTTTTTTCATATATGCAATTTAGCAGGCACACTGCCACTACTGATTTATGAGCATTGCTGCTGATATTTCACATGACTCATTGATGATATTGATGCAACATTAAATATCAGCCAACTTCTTAGCAAAAGCAGTAAAAAAGTACCAGAAGTACCAGAACTGAGTTAAGAAAAATGAACATTTCCAAATGTCCATATGACTGTATATCATTCTGTATATGACTGTATATCATGCACAGCTGTAAAGTTGCTAAATATTGTTTGCATATAACTAAGTTTAATTAAGGTTTTAATTCAAACATTTCTTAAGTAATTTAAGTTAGAATTGATCACGTCTTTCTACAGATAGCAGCACAACACATGCCAATATGAAAGCTGAAAGAGGTTGTTTTAATGAGGATATTCCTCTACAAACATGAAAAAGAATCCATCATAGCAGAGATGCAGGTGTGTGCATAACTAAAATCATAGGGGAAACACTGCAGACATTAATTATTTTTAACAAATAAAAATATGCAATTTTACATTTGTTGAATAATGTATTTGTTTGTTATAATATAAACTTTATTTTATTATTATCATTTTTTTTAAACTTAATTTTACAATATAAACAATATTTTTCCCCACCTGGAAGATCCAGACAAGATTTTCTCTGAAATTCTTTTTGAGGCGGTACTTCTGGAAGTCTGATTTCTCATACTGAATCCTGTTAGCAAAATAATTTCCGATATTAGAGAAATCTATTTTTTGCAAATAAATCCATTCTCAACATCAGTATAATTCTATTTTGTTTTCTCTTTTTGTTGATTTCATGAAAGCACACAAAAATGTCCTTAATCTCTGAAAAACTGACTGACGACATCACATATGAATGACAGAAAATGTCAAAGTCATAGCCAAAGCCATAATCATCACACAACTGACTTGACAAAACAAATGTTGTCTTTTTAGGAACACATGCATTTCTCTTGATCCTTTTTGGTTTATGGGATGCAGAGTATTTTAACACTTATTGTAAAGTGCTAAATTTGCTTCAAAAGACAGTGTACACCATTTCAAAAGCTACGTTACATGTTATAGATTATTTAGACTCTGGCAAGAAAATCTATTATGCACTTTGGTATGGTTGATTATTTATGGTGTAAATTAAACTATAAGGTAAATTATGGTATCTAAAAGATATGTTTGTGTTCCCACCTGTTGAGAAGAAAAGTTGCCAGTTCCACATCACTCTTCATTCCCTTCTGTGCTTTTAGAGTTTCCCACCGTGTAAATTCTGCACCTATATTTACTGTGGTCGTCTGTCCTTTGTTGCTAAATCACACAAAACAACAAATCATATGGAAACTAACAGGTTCACAGCTGTGTTTATCATTGTTTGACAAACAATCATCAAACCTGCATGAGAGAGAAATTAACACTTTACTACAGGAAATTCCTCTGTTACTGATATCCGCACATGCTCTCTCTAATCCTCCTCAGAAATGTACACTTACAAAGTGCAAAAGTTAATGGTCATTCCAGTTCAGTGGCTCAAATTGAATAATTTATTTTATAATTGTATAGATGTGAAAATGAATATGCTAGTAATTTCACACATTTGATTAATCTGACTGAACAGAACATATAAAGTTTTTGTTTACTAACTAAAACAAAAAGCAGAGATGTCCCTGCTACATACTGTAGTTATGTTAGCTTGAACCCTTGTCTATGTTGCTGTTATGTTGCTAGCTATCTTGTTCTTCACTGTAAAAAATGACCGTGAATTTAACGGTAAAAGACTGT